ACTCCAACTTTGCACCCTTCATGTGACACTTGTAAATTAATGTCTCCTGTGTGCACATTTGATGGCAGTGGAGGTTGTTTAGGTAACAATGGCAAGGTTTGAACAGGTTTCGAAATGTTTTGTAACATAAAAGTTCGCATTTCGTCTTGGTCTTTTTGTATCTTTGATGTTACTACTGTTAATTCGGCAATTTGTTTACCCATTTCGAGAATAGCATTCATCCATGGGGGTTGTGTCACTTGTGTATGTTCCACTTCTTCCTTTGTGTGAAAATTCATATTTTCATTTGTTTCTTTAATCGTGCAACTCGGACCGTAAGGCCCTAAATGTCCTTTCGTGGGATTTCCACACATACTACAGCATCGTGCTCTCGCACCTTCTTCTGTTTCGGACATGTTTACAAAGTTCTATAGATGATAAATTGATAAAAATCTCACAAAACTTCAAAATTAAAAATCATTTTTTCAAGACCCCCAGCGAACTTCCGCCCAGAGTGCAATTTTACACTGAACGAGTGTTGATCCCCGGGGATATTTCATACATCTCTTACATTAAAATTAATTTATAATATAAATATACATTTACTACATCCCCTTTACTAGTTAGTATTACCTTCCCTTTTAAAGCAGAGTGAGATATCGTTGAACTATGGCGCTCATGTACGATATATGAAAAAATTATCATACTCCATAGTTCCACTGTCATTTAAGCCTGATTTGGTACAAATGTCAAAATGATAAATGAGTTCATATACCTCAATCCAAGTCATAACTGTTACAAGTATGCAAATCACACCAGCATGAGATAACATCATACTCAAAGGATGGAACGGTCCATTAGTTTTCAATTGCATAAAATGGCTCTAACCCTGACAAATGTATTAATCAATTTTAACTCATAGCTCTTGATCAATGGAACCATTCATATTCTAGGTACAAGTCAATGAATACGACTTTGACAAACTAAAAAGACCAAGGACCTCTAAAAGTCTAAAAGACTAAAAGTTAATTTGACCATTGATGACCTGTGATAGGGAAAGGTCATGATAACTCTTATATAAAATATTTAAAGTATCTAATAATGATAATGAACATATTACAATGTTACACAATGTTAGTAGATGCTAATTAAATGTCAATTGTTGTTAGTGTAATATGTATTTTTCATTTAATGCTGCAACAATTACACAAGTACCAAAAAGTGCCACGCCCACTTTTCCCTTAAAGCAGTTGTGTGTGACTACATGTGATAAATATTATTAATTTATGGGATCATTATATCAAGTTTTTAGTGCTTTAGTGTGAATTCATACATATTAATTCAACTTTTAACAAAGTAGCAGCCACAAAATCCAAACAGATTTGAAAATATTTCACTTCGAGAACTAAAGGACACATTTGGGACAGGCTCAAATTGAGAAGATTGTGAGATATAAATACTGTTTCCATGGTAACCATATAAGTCAGAGATTGGAAATTTCTGGCACTGACTAACCATGGCATGCCCTACCCACTATGAAACAATGAATATCTGATATGCATTAGTATTCTTTTTATTGGGTGGTATTAAAGTACCCCCCAAGGTTTTGTTGGGGTAGGGGTATAAATTGGCCCGAGGGCCGTCTGCCACCCCTACATGAAGTCCAACTACCCAGAAAGTGTCCAGCATTATCATGCAGATTGTTTGAAATATGTTGGAATGTGTGACCTTCCATGAAAAGCAGAATGCATTTCTAGAGCACTTCTACAGAATAGTCCACAGTCTATATATGACATTCTATTCTTCATGTTACACCTAAGAATTATTCATTTTGACCATAGGGGTATTTGCCAATAAACGCACCTCTTCCTTTGCACGCCATATTGACGTTATTTATGACTGAAATCGGGAAGAAAAAATTGTGATGCACAAACAAAATTGCTTGTAATAACTATTTACAAAAAATGTTGCAAGGACTCTTGGGATACTTGGCTAAGGTTTTATTTGAAGATATTTTCAAGATGGCAATTGCTTCCGTGTTCTGTGTACACCTTCATCTGCTTAATATATTAATATATTAAGCAGATGAAGGTGTACACAGAACACGGAAGCAATTGCCATCTTGAAAAGTATAGTTTGAATATGTATGTACACGTCAGTGTTTTATATTGGGATCAGATGCACTTTACTTGTATACATGAACTTAAAACATTATGCATTACAGGCCTTCTAGACTTCCAACAAAGCGATCATCAGTTTTGAGCTCGCAAACTACGTTCATTGCGCTCGAACCACGATTCTCACGTCGCGAACGTGAAATCTTTAGTCGCGCACCACCATTTCCAGATGCTGTTATCTTCAATTAGTGGATATTGATTAACATGAATGAAAACTAGGAGAGTATTTCTTCAGAATTCCAAATAAAAACACTTCATTTATACCTGTTGCTGAGGGTGTTCTACTGAAATTGTAAAAGTCATGAAATTTGACTTTATCAACCTTTAGCACATACCCCAGGGTCCAAGAATATATGAGGTGCTTGCCTGAAAAGTGGTCAGCGAATTTTGAATTAGCTATTATAATGGCGCCCTCTTTCCAATTTCAAACATAGGGGTGGCTTCAAATTTTTTTTATGGATTGTTCATCTAGCTTATGGTAATGACGAATTCATATTATTGTACATACATGTCAGTTTTATCTTCTGAATTTTTTTGGCATTGGTGTGAAAAGCAGTTTAGAATAATTAACCCTTTGATTCCGAAAGTATGGTTAAAAAGCAAGGTTATACAACATATTTTTGCATAGTATGGGTAAAATAAAAAAAATTGTTCTCTTACTTAATTTATTGTAAGCATGGTTCAATATATGATAATATGCCATGGTATTTGTTTCTCCAAAAAACAAATAGTATGTTTGGTGTGCCTCGGGGGTCCATAATCGGACCCCTGATTTTTCTGATATACATAAATGACCTCCCTGACACGCTGACCTCGAAAACTTTTATCTATGCAGATGACACCTCCTTATACTCTTTCTTCACCCTTCTGGCAATCAAACTGGCCAACTCCAAAATGACCTAAATCTTTTAGGTGTATGGTCTAAAACCTGGCAATTGAAATTTAAAGCATCTAAAAGTGCTCATTAAGTTTTTCGCTCAAACCGACAAAAAAATATTCAAATATCTCTGCTTTACTTTGAGAAATGATCCCTCAAAAGCAATCATCCATGCACCTGGGTTTCATCTTAGATGAGAATTTGACTTTTAATGACCCTATAAACTATTTGTCTAATAAAGTTCAAAAACTGTTAAATCCTTTGAAGCTCATATCAAACAAAATACAGTCGCACCATTTTGAAATAATGTATAATTCATATTTGGCGTCTCATTTTGACTATTGTAGCTCCATTTACGGATCGTCATCCTTGGCGGCCTTATCAAAGCTTGATAAAATCCACTATCAAGCTGCTGTTATATGTGCTGGAGTACTGCATGGCTCTAATACCTCAAAGACTTTAAAATGTTTACAGTGTAAATCGCTGACTGTAAAGACACGAAAAAATCTAAGACTGATGTTCAAAATTGTAAGAAAGGATGTGCCTTATTATGTCTATAGTCTTTTTGACCAACATTGCAACCATGCAACTAGAATTTCAAGACACTTCTTACCCTTTTCCTGCCCAAGAAATATCTCAATGAGACTCTCTAAAGCACCAGTTTTAAAACTTATAAATAATTGCAACCAGCTTAGCCAGACTTTTCGTGAAATTCAAACCATTTCTAGATTCAAAAGCTATATTAAGCAGATATTTATCCCTATTTCAAACTTCATACCAACTACAAAATTAGATTTAAGTAGAACCAACGAAAAACTGCTCAATAGACTTCGAGTTGATTTTGCCCTTAAATACCATTTCAAAGTAAATCAAAGGAATTTTTGGTTGATTTTAAAAATGTATCCAAAAAATAAAAACGAAATCCCCAAAAATAGATAAAAATCAAGATAAACCCTTTTATTTCATTAACAAGATACTTTTTAAAATCAACCAAAATTTCCTTTGTACAATTGCAATATTGGGAGACCTAAACATGTTGTGTTTATGTCGTTTTGTTCCAATGAGGTTCGGAAAGATGTTTTATTTCACTCTGGAAACATGATACCAAGAACAAAACAAGTGTTTGATGTGTTTTCTAAAACAATATAGATGAAAGTATATATATTTTTTCAAATGCTATTGTTACAATTTAAAAGATGACCATTAAATTGACGATGTGTTAAATTTTTAGATTTTTTTATGACTGGTTTAAGAGAAACGTGTGTTCAAAAAGTTCTCCATATCGATACCACTCTTTTCATGAAAAATATCAAAGATCTTTGAAATGAGAGCATTTTCCATGTACTTATTGAACAAAAGGTGAAAATATACACACTTTGTAGAACAAATGTAAGGCAGTTTTGTCAGTATTTAAGAAATATAATCATCAAGATCACTATTTTACATGAACCTTGATACTAGGATAATTTCAACTAATATTACTGGAGGATACGGCGATTTCTCCTTTTGAAACCTGCATGTCAGCATCTCAATTTTACAATCCAGATAGGACTATGAACTGACCTCTTGATGACATCATCAAAAAGTGTGTACAATCCCTGCATTTGTTTACATTGAAAGCTCAATGCCCCATTCTGAATATAGATCACATGACTCATAAATGGGGAATGGCAACTAAATTTGAAAAATCAGAACATTTTTCTTCTGTTAAAATTGCAGTCCTTTGAAGGTCCGGAACAGTGCAGATTATTTAGACCTTTGTAGTTGAGCACCATATTGCCTGGGGAGTTAATATTTCCACTTAGTATAAGTAATTTTTAATTTGTTCTATGGCTTTAACGCAGTTTCGTAGCCTGACTGATTTAACAGGAAACTGTCAGCACCGAGGATTAGATATATGGGTATCAAGCTATTTAAATGATTTATTCACTAATTAATCGGGGAATTCAGTACATTACAGGTGTTGACCTGTGCACAAAAGTAAAATATACCACGTGACCCTCCTTTAATATGATTGGCTTTTAAAATGGGTTCTGTCGATTTTTATTATACTTGAGGGCGGTGTTTCAGAAAGAAGAAGGACTTTGCAGTATGTTATTAGCTATATTTCTGGGCCTTCTTGTGGTTGTTTTGGGACAAGATCTACACCCTGATGACACTCCTGCACAACGTAAGTGAACCATACAAAGATCATTGATTGATATTAAGTTTACGTAACATAAAGGTGAAAAAGGTTGAATTTATATATGCCATCATGAATTAGAACTTGTTTTCCAAGTATATTCTTTCGGCGGTGAAATCACCACCAAGGCAAAGGACAGTAGTCTGTTTGGAGAATGGAACATCAATTCAACTATTTTTCGCAAGAAGCGAAAGGGCAATTAGAGGTGCCTCTTAAACTTCTTGAAATGATTGGACAAAAAGTACCAAGAGAAAAACTACGAGAAAGGACCAACTGTCCCCGAGTCCTACATTTTATCATTTAAACAAAGGGACACAATTCTTCTATTGAAAAGTACAGAGGGGTGTCCAGCCGATACTTAACACGCAATGATGTATCCGTCTCTCCCGCCTTTCCACTGTGCTATATGGTTTAATCGCAATTGAAAATTGAATAGGCGATATTCAAATCAGTGGTACTGATATAAAGCTAGTTCTTATAGAGATAACTTCAACTTATGTCAAAATTAGTTCGAAAATTGTGAAAATTGGTTTGAACCAAAAGAAACGATGTCAAAATTGTCCATCCCCGACCGCCATTCTGAATGATGAAATAAATAAAGTCGGCAGTTTATGCAAAAACTGACAGGAACACTTTTATCTAAATACAATTGCACAATATTTATGAAAATTCACCGTCCGGATCCTGAAAAAAAAATCTTTGAATTTTATGAATCACTGGGAAAATATTATTATCCCATTGTGTGTACTGACTCATATTCCAAAGATGTCTTGGCAGATCTATGTGAGTGTGTTATATAAAATAGGAGACCAGGAAAATGTATTGTGGACGGTTAATAAATAGATTCCGCCGGGTTTCGAATCCACTCTCTTGGGGTTTAAACAATTTAAAAAGGGCTTAATTGATCGCGACAAGGGGGATTTGAATAATTAACATTTTTCAAACCAACAAATATCGACGTTTTATTCGGTTTTCGATTTTGGCTTTAGAGATGCATGAACTTCTACCTTAAACTTGATATTGAACATTTTCCCGATACCTGGCCTATAGTTCTAATTAAAGGTTACAGCGGGTATTTTAGCTGAGATTACTTCCAATTTATATTTTGAAAATAAACTATCCTAAATATGCATTTAAATGAGACAAACATTGACCATAATGGGGTGTTCATTGTACAAGCTAATCCTTTATCATAGTTTAGTGTAATAGAGTTCAATCATACAAAGGTTGGGGTATGATTCGATGTAAAGTGTAGCTTTAATACATTTGCATGATACCAACTAATTCGTTAATTTAGCCTTTGGTCTTAAATTAATTGTTACATTGTCAGAGACTATGTATTGATGGTGATAAATGGTAGGGCATTGCTACATAGTTCCAATCATTGTTTCTCCAGGCAATTTATATCATGGTATAAACTTGTCCTCCAATAGTAATCAAAACAAAATGACTATTGCATTAAGATATTCATTTCACATTTGTTTAAAATTAATATTCCAAAAGTTCGATGATTTTACTTATCACCAGCAGGGTGGAGTGTCTTTTTCGCATCAGCCCTAGCATAGGATTTGATCCTATGTTTTCAGATTAACTTATTTGTGTAAATTGACATACAAATAAAAAAATCTATGGATTTGTGGCGTTTCAGTACCAGTCAAGTGGAAACTTTGAATTTTATCATTCAACTTTGAAATATATTTCCACATGAGAGTACGAATAGCCTACACGGTATAATAAAAAGGCTTAAAATTCTCGGAAGTATATTGTAGATTATATATTGAAATGCTCTAATGTTTTCCTTTTGCACATGTGCTTTCATATTAACCATTTCATAAATATTAGAATTGAATATTTGTTTATAAATGCCCCATTCACTTCGAGGCAACTGAAATTGAAGACATTGAACATTGCCGACAAATTTATGACTTGTACCTTTCAATGTAGCGTGAAAAGGTCAATTTTCTCTTTTTTACTTAAAGTTGTTTCTCGAGAGTCTCAATTTCAGGTTCATGCATAATTGCTTATCAAAAAATCCAATGACAATGATTAAGTTATATCACTAATTGAAAGTTTTTTGATGGTCCATACGCACGTGGGTGTCTAGCTATAAGTCTATAAAACAGCTTTGTATCATAGAACTAGAGTCCTAAAGAACCCAGGCATTTATTTTGTTATCTTTTATAAAAGTCTGACATAATCTTAACGCGTGGTTTTTTCATTATACATAAAAATTGGATTCCGCAATGTTATTAGCAACTAGCCAGCTGCTTCAAATTTAAACATACCATTTGTACACCCTTTATATGATTCATATTTTTGATTGTAACTAAATGCTTTTATGACGTGCGCGGACATGGGGACAATTCGGGAAATACGGGCTGAGTCTCATCTTCAATCGTTAATATCTGCCTTATTTAAAAAACTAACTATGTGTTTATATGTCATTTTGAAGTATTTTTGATTCGCATTTCACTGAAATTAATTTTCATTGAAAAGTTTGATGGGATCTACCATATCTTTAAAGTTAAATGTACCCCGACATCGTCAAATACGCTGTAAGACGTAACATTTTGCGCTTACACGGTTCGTTGAAATCGGGATAACTTTTGAAATACTGATCAGAATTTCACTAAAATTTCACTTTTTATTCAATGGAACATGTGCATTTATGACGTCACAATTGCATAACAGCTACAGTTCAAATTGTCTTGTATGAACGCTTTTAAAATTTTCAAAATTGTGTAAGGTTTTGAAGGCGAAGGAGACGAGCAATAAATTTACCTTCTAATTTAAGTCTGATTTAAAAAAAAATTAACTGCACAATATTGTCATGGCGAAATTTACAAAACAATAACCAATCTCTTTATATTCAAATAAGAGCTGATTTTAGAGACTTGAAAAAAAGTAACGCATCGATTTTTTACCACAAATTTCATACATATCAATTTTTACTAACACCCCGAGTGGATTTTCTGACCGTTTTTCAAAAATCAAAAACATTTTAGAAATATTGTCCTCGAGATCTTGTTGCTCTGTGGATTTTATCAGGCTTGAATAAGGATAAAGCATCTTATTTTTAGGTTGACGTAACTTAACAAAATGTAACGCTTGTCGTTTATAAGTCTATTTGCGCCATATACTGCCCATTGTTTTGTTTCGGTATTTTGACGCCATAATGTTTCGCTAATTGTTCCCAGCTCCGTGCGACCGTATCTATATTTCCGAATCAACTCAATGCTCCACGTTCAATGTTTCCGAAGCAACTTAAGGCTCTATATTTCCAAATCAACTTATTGCTCCATGTTGCTGAATCAACTTAATGGTCAGTGTTTCTGGATCAACTAATTTCTCAATGTTTCCGTATCAACTAAATGCTCCATCTTTCTGAATAAACTAAATACTGTCTATATCAACTAACTTCTGTATATTTCCGAATCAGTTTATTGCTCCATGTTGGTTATTTGGTTTTCTGTATAAAAAAGCTCTTTCTCCTGTTCTGTCCCGTGGCAGCGCCATCTAGTGTTTGATAAATGAATCAAGGTTTATTCTCGATAGGGTAAGTACTAATCTATCAGGAAACATTTACAAGTTTGGTTAGAAACAGAATTTTAGAGATGGCGGAGTGATTTTTGAGACTATGTAGAGCAGAATAATTTTCTGAAACAGGTAGCTTTACAGTGGTAGCTCTCTCCAGATTCAGTTATCTCAAAAACGGTGTGGTCACCGTATGCTTATTTTGTAACGGCAAGCTAGACAAGACTCCAATGAACACTGGGCACTGTTTCGCTGAGCTAGATCTCTGCCCATGAATATATTATGAAATGAAACGTTATAATGGTCGTCAATGGGACTTTTTACTGCAATCTTGACCCTATTAGCAACAGGGTGGTGACAGTACTAGTGTGGGAAATAGCGTTATTTTTGTAAAAATTACACTTTCTTAGCAATGTGTACCTTGCATCTCTAAGAAAAATCAAATTATCCGAAGAATTAGCAATTTAGATTTTCGCTGATTCAGCATTTTTCATTTTTTACCTAAAAATCACAGGTTTTGACCATTTTTAGCCTGTATTTTGTTACAGGATCGCACAAGAGGGCTGCTAGTGCTGGTTTTAAGAGGTTGTTGACAGACTTTTATCAAATTATTACCGAATTTAAGGATTTAGCCATTATCATAGCATGTAATACAGCTTTTTCCTTTGTGTCTGAATTTTTCTTGAAAATATATGACAAAATTGACACATTTAACCCCATAGAATGACTAAATATGGCTGAAAACAGTTACTAACATGCATGTAATTAAAACAAGAACATTGCTATGCAAAACTGATATGATAATTTAATATAGAAGCTCATTTACTGAAAATTAATCACTAAATAATGGATAATTTGGGGTAATCTTTGATCGAAAATGACAAGATTTGACCATTTTTTGGTCATGGTTCAGTAATTTTGGCGATAAACATTATGGAAGTACGAATAAACGTTTTGACATGCTAAATATTGTGAATTTTTGTTAAGCCATAGCGAGTAGCAGTATTTCTATTGCAAAAATGGTCAGTAATGGCCTAGTCACATAGCCCGGCCGATGTCCGGCATCGGTAGAGCTCGGTGGATTTTTTTGGTGCCACCGAGCTCTCCTCATCTGAAGCAGAGCTCGGTGACGTGAACGGACTCCGTCCGGACATCTTCAGGCGACCGACCGAACACCGGCCGGTGACCGTACGGAGTTTTTTCTGCCGATGTGGCAGCAACTACCGGCCGGAGGTCGGCCTGACATCGGAAGGAATACGGCCGGTACCCGAGCAGGTAACAGGACACCGTGCGATCGCCGGCCGGGTTGTTAACGGGCTTTGAACAGTGACCGGCCGATGCTCTGTCCCACATCGGCCGGAGCTCGGTCGGAGCTCGGCCGCTGTCCGTTAAAAAAACCTCGTCCTCTGGTTGTCTCAGATGCACGGGACACCGGCCGATACTCGGCCGTGCACCGGCCGACGTGTTTTCCGATGTGGTTACGATGGGGCTGCGATGACATGATGAGGGAGCTCGGTGAGAGCCCGGTGAAATTTAACTCCGAAGTTAAAATTTCACCGAGCTACCACCGATGCGGTTTTAAGCAACAAACGCCACGGATGTCCGGCCGGTGTTCGGCCGAGTTCGGTGAAAATTGCATCGCTGGCTCATCGTAACCTCATCGGCCGGGCTATGTGACTAGGCCATTAGGTATAAAACTGCATGGCCCTAAAATAAATGACCCCGGGGTTAACAAAGCAGCTATAAAAACTCTTCTATTGGTGCGATTGAGCTTAAATTGCACAAAAAGTCTTGAAACACTCTAATGTTTAAGAAAAACAAGATTTCTGGCACAAAATCATTCAACCGTGTCACTTATACTGTATGTGTCTATATCAACTAAATGCATTATATTTCCGAATCAACCCAATGCTCCATGTTTCTGAATCAACTAATGCTCAATGTTTCTGAATCAACTGATTTGTCAATGTTTCCGAATCAACCCAATGCTCCATGTTTCCGAATCAACTCAATGCTCCGTTTTTTAATAAACTTAATGCTCCATGTTTTTGAATTAACTTAATGCTCCATGTTTCTGAATCAACTTAATGCTCCGTGTTTGGTAATTAACTTTATGCTCCATGTTTAAGAATGAATGCTGTAGGTTTCTTGATAAACTAAATAATGTATGTGTCTAAATCAACTAAATGCTATATATTTCCGAATCAACTTATTGCTCCATGTTTCTGAATCAACTTATTGCTCCATGTTTTTGAATCATCTAATTAATATGTCTTCCAGCTTAATAATAAAACTAAATGTGTCATGTTTTTGTACTTGCAGGTGTGAGTGTAGACCCCGGTATGTGCAACGTTTATTCCTTGGAAAATATCACAAATATATGATTTTCTAGTACTCGTTAGTCATCGAGTTAGATAGACATAGCATTAGATAGTTGTATAGTATTTAATTTTATTCACTGTTAATATTCCCCCTTTTGAAAATCTTCACTGATATTTTTGTGGCCTGTTTACCGTGTTAACTGTATGGATATTACCAAAAATTTTATAGATTTCTTCACTAGAAATATTCGGAAATCTATTGTTTACCTTCTGTCATCTGGCTATTATGGGATATAAATGACTACACTGGACAAAATACCAATCAAACCGAGTGAGAAATATGGCAGTGAATAATGAAGACATTTATTTTGGTACTATGGAAATGATGTAAATTTTATGATACAAATAAGTTAATGTTGCACAGATGATTGCCTTGCGTTCGATGGCCTGCTGCCTGATGAAGATAGACCGGGTGGCGACTGTTGCCATTTCATCCAATGCGACTCATCAATGGCTAATAAAACTGGCTTCAGGTAAATTAAAATTCACTGGTGATCCGCTCGATTACGCTGGTTAGTTCCGTTTCGGTAACAAAATGTCGGAACGTCGAAGGTACGATTTTTCTTTTTTGCTTATTTCGCTCGTTGTAGGCAAAATCCCCACGTCATTTTTTCTCACAAATGTGTATCAGTATCATATGTTTTATAAAAGGTACAAGTTTGCGAAAAAATAGCTCAGAAGACAACAGAATCGTCGATTTAATTCCTCAAAGTGCAGATCTTAACTGTTTTTCGAAATACCGTTTCGGTAACTTAAGTGAGGGATTAAATCGACGATATCGATTCCGTTGTCTTCTGAACTATTTGTTCGCAAATGTGTACATTTTCTTAATCATATGATACTGATACACGTTTGTGATAAAAATGTCGTTGGAATTCTGCCTACAACGTGTGAAATAAGGAAAAACGAAAAATCGTGGCTTCGACGTTCCGACATTTTGTTACCGAAACGGTTCCAGCGTAATTGAGTGGCATGGATCACCATTGAAATTGTAAACGGATTGTTTCGCCACTGGTCAAGTGTCTATTATATGCATACATCTTGCAAAGTTGAATTCTTAAAACTCACTTTGGTATTACATGCCCTGTCACAGTAACTAATATTATACAAATAGTGACTGCCATTGAGGGCAATAGTGTAAATTATTTCCCCGAGGGAATATCCTCTACAATGTACTATTCCCGAAGCCGCAGGCTGGGGGAATAGTACATTGTAGAGGATATTCCCAAGGGGAAATCATTTACACTATTGCTCGAAATTAGGCAGTCACTATTTGTTTTATTATATACCCTATACTGACTCTTGTCCCGTTTCCTCTGCGAAGGCCAAAAAGGCTTAGAAAGCCCCCTCCCCGGGTCCATTGTTAGCATTATAAGCTGTGACGTCATCAGATGCTCAACAGAAATTTTTGCCTCTGAGACTCTCATTTGACAAATTCAATCGCGTTTAACACGCGGAATAGATTATCATAACACTTGAAATTACACATACAGACGTATTGAGCTTAGGGAACTTTATACACGTTGCTTATATTGTATCGTTCACGCACGTCTGTCATGGTGAACGGAGTTGATTTACGTTTGTGCTCATCCTCCATTTTTCTGTTTTTCGTCTGCGCAGTGATGATGCGCAGACGTTTCCAAGGGTAATAGAACTTGCAATTGTGACGTCAGCGGGCAATAGTTCAAATGTATATTCCCGGTGACGTCACATTTGAGGGAATATAACTTTCCGAGGGAAATAGTAAATCTATTTCGGAACACGTGACTAGGTATTGACCAATCAGGATTAGTGTTACATATTGGGTATATAATAAATCTCTATATTCCCTCTATAAGTTGGGATAATGGGACTGTTTATAATGCCCAGTCGCAGTACCCGATATATCTCTATATTCTCTCTCTAAATTTGGGATAATGGGACTGTTTATACATTTCTTAATCACTTTGGGAGCATTACATGCCCTGTCATAGTTCCCGATATATCTCTATATTCTCTCTCTAAGTTTGGGATAATGGGACTGTTTGTGGGACAATTTACGATAATTGACATTTTAAAAATCTGTTGTACTAGAGACTGCGACATATTGTTGATTTCATGGACATGCAATGTGCTATTTTTGTTGACCAGACTTTAAGCAATCATTACCACATGGTACCTGTTTGTAATATTGCTTATCTTTCTAAAAATATTACTTTAATGATTGATTTTTAGACAATTAATTCAATTGAATTTCTTAACCTAAAATGTATCGACTGCGTTGATATTTTTGAGCATGTTAATAAAATGTTTGTGCTACCAACTCTTGAAAGCGGTATGTTTGATATGTCTTAGTCACATAATTAAGTATGTTTTACTACAGGTATACGATTGGTCAAATATTTGTATCCTCCAACACATCGGCCGTATTAATATACACTATCGATGCATTATTTCGTGAAAGCTATGCCAGAAGATGCATTTGATAACATATCTTCGATTGCGAACAATGGAGTGTTTAGATCATCATTATTTATTTTTTGAATTATTTGAATTGTCTTTGTAAAACTTTATTAAGCATGTGTTGGAGGATACACAATGACTTTAAAATTATGTAAAATATAAACGTACAATCAAAAGTTAGTTGTATTCGTATTTTTATGTTTATATTTAAATTACAGCAAAGAATGAGTTATTGCCAAACCAAGAAACAATATATTTCACTCTCATGATCATGTTATAACTTTGTGGGAATAGCGATGCACGTAACCTTTACATTTCTATTCAACATCCTATGCTTTCTTTTTATTTTCATGACTGATGATGTTATTGAGACGAAAATAAGGCATTTACATGACAAAATGTCACCACCTAGTTGCTCACAATATTATTCGTCCAATCTTTGATTCAATTCGTTCTATCGTCAGATTTGAATTTCTGAAAACTTGTAGATGATTTCAAAAATAAAAATTGGTCAATTTGAAGCAAGTTGAAAACAGACCTTTTTCTACCCTGACAAGGTCATTGAAGATGAAATCTCAAATCTAAAGTCAGATTTGAACTTCTGAGAACTTGTAGATGATTTTGAAAAAAAGAATTGGAGCAAGAATTGAAGCAAGTTGAAAATAGACTTTTTCGACCTTGAGAAGGTCAAATATTTTTTGACCTTGAGAATGTCATTGAAGGTCAAATCTATAGTCAGATTTGAACTTTTGAGAACTTCTAGATGATTTTGAAAAAAGAATTGGTCAATTTGAAACAAGTTAAAAAAGACCTTTTTGACCCTTTTTGATCTTGAGATTTGAACTTCTGATAACTTTTAGATGATTTGAAAAATGGTCAATTTGAAGCAAGTTGAAAAATATATTTTCGACCTTTATTGACCTTGAAAAGGTTACCGAAGGTCAAATCTTGAAGGTCAAATAGAAAGAATATTGTTCAAGATCGCACGAGCCCCCAAATTTAGTCTCCTGTTTAAAAAGCCATATTCTTCACTAAATTGGTTAGATTCTAGGTTTGCTCAGTAACATATTTCTCCTACGAACGAGAATGACCAGAATTGTGGAACAATGTCTATAAGAAAATCTTAAAAGATACTTCTGGTGGAATGCGCATCGGTTTCTTTACGAAAACTAAGACTTTACTTCATCATCTAGCTTAGACTGCTCGTACAGTACTAGGTTTTTATTTTATTAAGCAAAAGGTAACGGTTAAAAATAGAAAATTGAATTTCATTGCTTCACAAAAAACGTTGTAGAAACGAACGTTTTGATAATACAAATACAATATTTCAGGATGTCAAAATCCACCTCATTCTAAAAAATGTGTCTAAATTCCATGATAATCACTTACAATACAGAATAAAAAAAGTTAGAAACTTCTAAAAAGCTCTCCTTATCAATGCTTCTCTTTTACATTTCTTCGTAGGAGGCGAAAAAGTAATATTAGAGAGTTTAAGCTTGCATGTTAAATCGAAACGCCAACCTATGAGTTGTACCTTATACCAAGGGGGAAGTCTACCCGCCTATATGAGTATTCCGATTATACCGTGAGTAAACCCGATGAGGTAGTGAGTAAGCTTTTGGGTGATCATATAATAACATGACGTATATCACAAATATTCCTGTTAATTTATCATATAATCCTGGCGTCGGGATATAAAATAATATGATATTATTATTATTATTATTAAAATATTTTATTATAGTGTCACTAGTGTTAAAAGTATACATACAATGTCAAATACAAAGTAAACTAAAACACTACTAGCCGGTGTCGACTTATGAGACACTTAGGTCCTTCTACAATCTGGAACAATAGTACAATAACGTCATTTCTAAGGGCAATTTATACAGAATATCACATCATTTTGAGTGATATCATTTTTATCGCCGAGTTGATATCAAATATCAACACGAGTGAGCGAAGCGAATGAGTGTTGATATTTGATATCTACGAGGCGATAAAATGATATCACGAGAAATTATGTGATATTGGGTTTATCCCATGATTACAACCACCTTGTGATGTTCTGATCCAATTTGATTTGTACTTTACTCAATGCGCAGTAATATGCACTACTTTCTGTACATGATATAGTTCGTCATGAATACCATTTTTTAATCGTTATTTAACAGCCTTCTAATCAAATTATATACACAATCATAATTCAATACACCAATGAAACTTAAAGAGAATAAATTAACGGACCTATTTTCTCAAAAGAGAATGAATTATCTGACCTAATTTCCAACAATATTGTGGCGCGAAATGCAAATGTGATATCACACGGATATGCGTGAGATAAACGATATCACACGCATATGAGTTTGATAAACGATTTTCTGGAAAATATCACACGGATTTCAATAATATCAGAAATATCAATAGCTGTTATTGTACAGATAACACATTAATCGTTGGATAAAGTGAAATATTGGACCGAGGGCCGAAGGCCCAAGGTCCAATATTTCACTATATTGCTCGCAGAAATGACGTTATTAGTATTATTACCATCGTTAACGACCATAACTGAAACAGCAAGAAAATCTTAAGCATAGAACGATATCTAATTTCCCGGGGAAAATTGCCGGACCAGAATATATTCTAGACCGGTCCATATGGACCACCACTATGACGTCACACATTTCTCAGGTCGATATAGTAAAATAAACGCCTTCTAAACTAGCACTAAAACCCCTAGAACTGGCCCGGCAAGGTGGTAATAATGTCCATTAAATAAATATACTGTTCTATAATATACAATTATTGCACTGTTCAAATAATAATATCAGCATGTTTTTAGAGTAAGCATTTTAAGTTGACTAAAATAAATATCTGTTGAGCAGTTGTTTTGATCATGTCAGACCCTCTCAATATTGAGTTTCCTTTTTTGCCACATTTTAAATAGAGTTGAAGCCAATAAATTTTGGATGTTTTTGTCATGCATAAGACTGATCAGTGTACCCAGGCCATCATTTGAATTAATGTTTAT